CCTCGTCTTCACTTTCGTTAAAATACTCTTTGTATCTCCTACTAGCTTTCGTGAGTCGGTAGCTATCGGCTGATTCCCGTTTAATATCAGTTTCGATACCAGAATCGATAAATTTGTCAAGTTTGCTAATGCTTCCTGAGTTACTGCAATAACTCTTATCTAAATCATACATCTTCGAATTGATATAGGGATCGATTTTTTTCTCTTTACGTAACGAATCGTGGTAAGAAGTGTCACGTGAGTTATCGTTACGATATTTCGGAGCGGGATGAATTTCAGGAGTCGATTTGTATATTTTCTTATTTTTAAGCAACTTGTGCCTTTCGTAATATGTTCGTTTATTTAACGAATGGCTCGGATCAAATTGCCTATTTTCCGGAGAGGACCGATATTCACTTGCTTGAGAATCGAAACTTTTCGGTTCACTATCAAAACTATTTAGTGAATAATCCGTAACATGTCGAGTAGTAAATTTTCGAATTTCGTCGCTGCAAAAAAATGAAAATTCAATTACATGAATATTTTCGAATTGTAAGAGCGCATTGTTGAACCTAACTCTACCATATAACTTTATGTAACGTCCTATATATAATAGTCAAAATACAATACCATATAGCAACTAGATATATAGAGGCCCTGCATATGCCGATACGAAGCAACCGCCGATATTAAGCAACTATGAAAACATTCTTGAGTAGGTTTTTTACCATTGACCTGGCGGCATTATCGTCAATAAATTTGGATGTGACATTTTACGGCGTTATTTTCTCAAAATATGCTTATATTCCTGTTAAATGTTTTGGGAAAACGAGCGTGCAAAATACTCTTTAGAAAGAAATTGGTGCAGGTTAGTGGGTGAAATGTACCGCCTGCGGCGCATTAATTTTTCCAGTAGTAGGGCCAATATATTATCTAATAGCTATATGGATACTAAACTGAATTAAAAAAAAAATTAAATTTATCTAGATAAATTATTCCATAATATATAGGGTCGTTTAAAATGAATGTTTGTTATGTGACAGGTAGAAAGGATTCACAGTTCATATTTTTATGTATGTGATAGTGGTGGTATATACATAAAAATGTAAATACAATAAATAAATAAATTCATAATAATCACATTATTAATTTGCTATATTTATGTATATTAATTAAGTTCGTCATGGAACGCCATATTGTTTGGTCAATTACTGTTTCAATAAATATGCAAAAGTTTTAAAGCTTGAATAACATATTAACTAAAGAATAAAAAGTTCTGATGACACTTTTTATCAATAGATAATATCACAAGCTTCTTTTCGAAGCGCAAAATTTGAAAGTCCGAAGTGAAGTCTTGGAGAAACGTTTGGCATCTGTTAAACACTTCAAACAATAGTCGACAATCTTTTATCTTGCAACAAATATTTTAGCAAAATAGGAGAGAAGTTAGCTACGCATAAAATATATTATAAAATTCCTACATAGAGTAATTGTCAATGAAACTTAACAAACCACCGATAAGTTAAAGAAAAATAAATCAAATTGTATTGATGAAATAAGATCGGAAACCCTACAATTTTTAAAAGAACATATACCGGGTGCATTGCCGAACGGAACATGGCAAATCCCATGTAAATTTTTAGGGGGCCAAATATTGGCTCTCCTGCACTTGTTATAGCAAGTTGTAATATAACTTTTTGATGGAGCCAAAATTATTAACTCATGTGCCGAGTTTGAATAAATTTTAATCAGGCAAATGAGCAAATTTGTATAGTTTACAATACATTTTGACAATGACAACACGAAAATTCGCGACAGTAACCATAATTAAGTCGCATTATGCAGGAAACAGTCAGAGCAGTGTCTGAAATGTTTTCAGTTTATTTTCCTGCTAAAACGATACCTTTGACTTCCATATTTAAACGCATTATTACCCAATTCGAGTCCAAAGGCACCGTAATAAATAACTGCAAATGTTTAGCTGAAAATGTCGATAATACAGCAGAAGAAAGGGACAATAGAGATTTGAACATTTTCTTGTAAATAAACATGAAAACACAAATATTTTTTCTATAAATATGGAAAGCACCAAGAGCTCCGGGAAGGCGATGAAGAAAGATGATTTTGAAACGATGGAAAAAGCAAATAATGATAGGGATTTTTAAAAAATGTTATGGTGGGAATTTGCGAGTATCATAATATTGGGCCTTTTTTAATGGATTATAACTCACGGCACTTACACACGGACACACGGACTTATCTCGCCGAATAACTTCTTTCTGTGGGGTCACTTGAAAAGGGTTATCAATAAAAATGTTAAATTTGAAAATTTTAAACAGTTACAAATGAATTTTATATTCGCTTAGGACATTTACTTAAAAAATAATGCTTATTTTAGATAATGTTTCTTTTTAGCAATGTTCTGTAGCCGTATTTTTATTATAATTGTTAATTCTTTTTAATAAAAGAGTTGAGGGTCAAATTTACAGTCGTTCCTTGATGCTTCCTTGTTGCTTAAACCGTCCTTTAAATTAAATTCATTCCAAGAAAGCTTTATGGGATGCGGAGGCCTTAAGAACCGAGTATGAGTTTGATCCTAAGAAAAACATAACATAACTTACTTTAATTTGAATGTGTGAAACCAAATGTGCATGTCTTTATTGTAAACCAACTTTTATTTGATATGTCATTGCCGTCGTTAAGTTTTGGAAATAGCGTCATGGAAAATATTCACTGGTATTTGTTGTATTGTTGACCTTTTGTTATCATATTTAATTCAGACCTCTTCAAAAAGTTATATTACAATTTTGCTATAAAATGAACAGCAATATAATAAATTCGTTTTTGAAAGAGAGAACATAACAGAAACCATAACTGCAGACCCATTTCTCTTATTTCCAATAATCACGAGCACTGAGAGTATTTTTAATATTTGGTTAGTTAGTTTTTTTTCAAAATTATCTGCGCTCTCTGACAAACAATTTGACTTTCGCTTCAAAAAACTAAAAGTTCATGGTATCCGAGGTGTTAAAATTTATTTTGATTATTTACAATAATTTTAAAATTATTTTTTGTCTACTTTTTCTTATTTGTCGTAAGGAAGCAAATAAATAGATATTTATTTGTTTGAAAACATGAAATTTTGACCAGTTTTGTGTATCATTTCAGAATCACAAATTTTAAAGGACCCTCTATAATATAGAATACATTTATTTGGATAATAATTCGAACCCCGCATTAGATATGTATAGGAAAGTACAAACAAAAATAATCTGAACAAAACAGTGAATCTAAAAATGTAATAAAATACAGGGTTGGTCATTTAAAATTACGCTATTGCCATAAGTTACTATTGGAAGCGTTCAAAATATTTTGATTTTGTATCTCATAGTCTTATGGTTCTCCGTAAACGTCTCACCTACTGTCGACCATTCTAGACAAATATAGGGAAAACAAATTTAGACTACAAAAAACATGTCCATAATATTATAATGTACTTAGGTGATATTAACTAAATATATCCTACCGTGCCTTATAGCCTGTCATTTTATTTTCAAACAAAGGTCCGTCCAAGGGACTAACAGATCTATAATCCAATGATGTCTGGTTAGTTTTCATGATCGGCAGAACAGAAATTCTTGGATATTCCGGAGTCGTACTTTTAATTTCATTTATTCTCCTATTGCTTCGAGATTCCAAAAGGTCTCTCCGTTTAACGAGATCGTCTCGAATATCAGCTTTCGCATCTTTGTAGCTGATATTTAAATTAATTCCATTTTCGGGCGATTCCGTCAAACTTTCCCTACGTTTTGTGTCCATGCCATCTCCGCACCCTCTATATGACGAATTCATATAGTTAGTATATTCCACGTTGGCGTCGCTGAATCCATTCAGTTGTGTGGTGTTTTTATATTTCGGTAAAATAGGGCTTTCTTGTAGTCGATATATGTCATCAAAATAGACATTGCTATGGGAGTCAGAGAAATTTCGATCTCCAAAATGAGTAAAGGATTTATTTCCGAGGCTTTCGTCGCAGCCCAATCCCTCATCCGAATCTGATTGGGGTTGTTTTTTAGTACTGGGATAGAAAGTGTGGACAGTGTGTTTCGTTGGACCTTCAACAGAAACGAACATGTAAATAGGCAATAGGCAACCAACACAACACATTGGTATAGCCAATAACACTGAAGCCAATGTTCTTGAGATGTTGATTTAGCGCGCAATTATTAAGCGTATGTTTTGTCACTTGGCAGTATTGTTTTTGTGTTTTGTTACAAGAAATTAAAATTTCGGCATACATTTTACTCGGTTTTATCTGTCTTGTCATTATTTAAATATTTTGTTGATGATTTTATTATTCTCTAAAGAATTTGTTTAGAATTTGATTTACTTACTTCAGTTATTATGTTATGTACAGGGAGGAAGAAATTTGATACTTTTAAAGAGTCCCGTTTCCAAAAGATATATGCGAAAACTAATGTCGTATCGGTTAATAATTATTAAATTGTAATTTTTAAAAAGGCTATATTAATTCATTTAATGGTGAGTTAAAAGTTGCATTGATCATAACAAAAAGGCTACAGCGATGTTCTAAAACTACATATTTTCGAAAAGCACCCTATAAACCTGTAACTGTACTAGATATCCATGTGCGGTTTGTACCATTATTTTCTTTTGAATGACTTCAGACACCGGCATTGGTTTTTGTCTATCGCCTTTAGACAGGGCGATAGTTTAGTTAAAAGTTTCCAATTTGAATACAAAAGTTTGATGAACTGACTTAAACTTTTTAATTATATGACTTTTATGTGTTCAGGTTTTGTAGGCCAGGTACAAACTTTCTTAGTTTAAATTTAACACCCTATATGTGTCTTGATACCCATTCGGAGAGTGCGTTTCAGGCCAAATTCGACCATATCTATATGATAGTTGAAGATTGTGACGCGACGTTTTGTATCCACAGACATTTTTGTTAATTTTCTGACACAAACGATAAATGAGAACATTTCTAATACCAATTAATTGTTATAAAGGTATACTATAAATAAAATAAAGCACTAACGTTTATGTTAACTGAAACAGTTTCAGTGAAACTCTGAAGAAGCCAACAAGTTGATTGGAGAAACGTCAGTAAGTTTGATTTATAAATAACCGACGCAGGAGGAGTCCAGAAGTTTTGATATATGATGGTAGGTGTCCACGTCTACATCTTGGAATTATTGGTCATCAGGTGCTTAAAAATACATTATAATTATTTTATTTATAAATTTAGTTTTATTTGGCTGATTATAGGAATAACAACAAAGTCTAAAGGTACAAAATACTTGTTTTCGGTTTTTAATTTTTGGCAATAAAGTAAAGTATGACGGTCAGTGATTTCGAAATGGTTATTTTATACCTCCATTATTATATATCGTTGAAATTGTCTTTTAATGCTTAATTTAGATACAAAGTAATATATCAGGGGTTCCTTAAAAAAACAACGGGGCAACACATGATGCTCGCTTAAAAATTTGCTTGACTGGGATAAGGCAGCGCAAACTTCAATCTTTTATTTGGCTATTTATAGAATTTAGAAAGATTTAAAACACTTTCTCTGATAGTTTCTGGTTATGTAAACAAAGAAAAATGCCTATGGACACGAAATATCGCGTCATTAATATATACTATCATATATCATTGAAATGCACTTTCCGAATGTGTATCGATATCATCCATCATCTTAAGCGGAGTTACGTATACTGTAAAATAGCAACCAAAGCTGAGTTTATCTACTAAAATAAAAATTAAACTTAAAATGTCGATAAAATATATATCATTTACTAGATCAAAACCATTCCGATAAGCCCATGACTTCTGCTAGGTTGGCAGATAAGACAAAAAAAAGGAATATTTAAAGTGCGAATTGTGAAAATTTTATTATGTAGAATCATAGACCGAATGTTGACCAATAAAGATAAAATTTTAAAGATCTATTTTTCATAATTTCTAGGTGAAAAATCTTGTTAATTGATTTCAATTTATCAATTCTTATAGTTTAATGTTCTAGGCTGTCAAATAAGAGAAGAAAAAAGTAATATTTAGAATGTGAATTGTGAACATTTTATTATCAGGTGGGAGAAACAAAAAGGAATATTTTGAGTATGAATTTTGAAAATTTTATGTTATGTTCATAATTTTAAGATATGAGAAAAAAAAGTAATATTTAGAGTGTGAATTGTGAACATTTTATTACCAGGACTTCTGCTCTGTGATAAGTTCGTTTTTAAATGTTTAATATTCAGCAAATATCGCAAAACTTTCAAGTGACAATCAATAATTTTTTGTTATTGTTGTTTAACATATCATATTGCGACTTAAAAGAAAATGTCAAATAAAAATGTAAATAGTCTCGAAATAATAAGAAATTTCAATGCAAACGTCAGGCCGTATTCAAAAAACTAACCTTTTATACAGGACGTCCAAATAGCCGGTCAGTTCAATACAGTTCCTTTATTATTTGTTTTAGAGAAAAATGTTGAATACAAAAATTATCGATGAGACTAAAGGAAACAATTCAAAATTATTTTCAAATATATATGATATATTATGGCATTAACAGAAACTCCCTTTTATACTCAATCAGGGGTTGTTATGGTTTATAATGAGTGTTTTATTTATGGCCTTTTTTTCTTCAAAAATGCCCTGTGTTTAATATCCTATATTTTTGACGCCGTTTCCGAAAGTTTATACTTATAGTTGAAGTTAGTTCGAATCGTATATAAAGGGCGAGTCCAAATGAAAAATATTAATTTTCGCGAAAAATTCAAATGGAACACCCTGTACATTGTAGTTGCCTATACCTAAACTTAGTATTTTTTGAGGTATACACATTTTTACGAACGAAATAAATATTACCTGCACGTGAAAAGTCTATAGAGACGAATTAGAAATAATTATTTTTTCAGATGTGAACTGCGCAACTTTGGAAAAACAATTTAAACAGTATTTTACGCTAGGGATAACATTAAAAATGCAATATTAATGTAGCTAATAGTTCTACAAAAAACACTTAAAAACTAAAAAAAAAAATGGCAAAACAAAAAACTGTTAGTTAACTTTCATTTTATTTATTGCTCGAAATTTCTATACACGCTCTAAACGATTGGGTAGTATTCGCTAGCATATCTTGACTAATACTTTGAAAGGCTTATCTTCACATTCTCTGCATCACTTGTTTGAAATAGTTCTTAACATATTTTGCAACCTCTGATCTAACAAGTCTAATTAAAATTGCACATTCACTATACTTTCAAAAAAATGGGGCCTACAATGTTATTTCCTATTTAACATTTAAAGACCATTTTTTGGAGTGTATTGTTTGCGTAATAGTGAAAATAATGTCTATTAACACAACCGATTCATCCGTAAATAACATTCGAAAAAATCATCTTGCTCAAAAATTCTTTCTTGTGCCTATTCACAAAATGTTGATCTAATTTGATAATCATTTTCATTGAATTCTCGATAAAATTGTACATGATAAGTACGCATCTTATTTTTTCGCAAAATATTAAAGTTTGCAAAAGTTTTGGGGCATTTGTCGTACATTACATGTGGATTTTTCTGTGACATTAATACTTGAAATTCATTTTCCTCGTTCACTACAGTCTTGACTCTTTTGTTCTTTTCATAAGCAACAAATTACCGTAGCTAATAATGCATTCTTAACAGCAACAGTACGAAAATCATGTCGACCATTTCTTGCATCGAAAAATTCACGACTGAGTTGCAAGTTAAGCAAGCAACTAACAACAAATTAATTGAGAAAACTAATACAGAGTTCATCGGTTTCAAATAATTATTTTTTTGCTCAAGTTGTATATTTGCATGACTAACTTAGATTTTCATGGCCAACTTACAGTAAAAGACGAAATCTGAAAAAAATGTTTTATAGTTCAATAATATTATTAATTAATAATTAATTAATTAATGAAGCATTAAGAAAGGCAAAATTTCCACATTAATGGAAAAAAGAAAATATTTTTTGTCAAAATTAAAAATTTACCTATTTATTTTTATTCTTTTTTTTTTGGCTTATTGCGATATTTTCTCATAACTTGACAAAAGTTTTGTTTGTAAAAATGTATATACCCCGAAAAATACTAGGTATAAAGGCTGCTTAATAAAATAAAAGAGCGGTAACAAGAGCAATTACTTGAAGTAAAATATGTAGGGCGTTCCTTTCAATTTTTTCACGAAAATTAATATTTTTAATTTTAACTGCACCCTGTATAAACGATACGAACTAACTTCAAGACAAGTATGGGTGAATGACTCTACTACTTTATAAAATTATTGACATAATAAAATTACAGCTGTCAAAAATGTTTTAAACACGAGCTTTTTTTTTATGAATAAATGGCCAACATCCGAAAACATTCGGCATAGACTATAACAATCCTACATTGGGTGATTGAGTATAAAAAGGAATATCTACTAATGCATGCATATACAGGGGGCATCATTTAAAAATTAAGTTTGGTTTTTCACATATTCTCATATATTTAAAGATAATTTTAAATTGTTTTTTTAGTCTTATCTATAACTTTTGAATTTAACATTTTTTCTAAACCAAGTATAAATGAGATATATTACTTTCACACAGAATTTAGAGGCCTTGTATATATTTTCTTGAACTGTTTGTTCACAATATGTACAACGCACTTTTTCCGTCTATCGTATTCCATATTTTCGATATATAATATGTTATTTAATAAGTGTGCCATGAAATGATAAATATTAATTTGTCCTTAATTGTTATTTAATTAGACTCCTCTATCGGTTGTTGATGAGTCGGATAATTGGCGAAACTACGATGACTCACGACTTTTTGTACAACCCTGTATAATCTTTTTGGCAAAAAAATGAAACCGATTTCGAAATATTTTTTTCATTTATTTAGCGGTTGCTAAATGATAAGCACTCTTGATAAACCCCAGTTAATATTAATATTAAGTTCATCGTTGTGTTTGAGTTTATATCGAAAGTCGATTGCCATAATACCGATGGTACAATTGTTACTCGAAGTTTTAAGATTTTAAAGTTCATTTTCAAAACATTTTTAATAGAGCAAATGTTTCGTTGATTTTATGTTTTACACGAAAAACTGTCCATTGTTTGTCGCACTTGAATGATATGTTACACTAGCGATAATCATACGGAAGTTTCAATAATATTTACTAACAAGTAGCATAATTAATGTAAGCAGCGCTACTGAACGCCCACTTGATTAATATGGTAAGCTCCATTCGGATTGATTACCTATACTGTTTTCCCCACACACCACCTGTGCGTAAATAATTGGGCTACCTGGTTGGGAATTTTCAGTCAACTTTTCGGCGCCAGAGCTATTTGTGTAGGAGAATGGTAAGTTGTTATTGTGAAATATCTCCTTATTCGGAGTTACCAGAGGAACAGGCCTGGGTGGAGGCGAAGAGCATTTAGCACTGTTCAGCCTTTTCACCATCCTGTCCACCGTGCCACCTGAAAATAAAAAGGTGGGACACACCATGTATAGGGTGATTCATCAATAATTGGAAATATTTTAATTGTATAATCCTGAATTCAAAATACTAAGATTCAACTCCAACCACTTAGATAAAATGTGTTTTTCATGTTTTCTTATTATTAAGTCTGTAACAGAATAGCAATAAATAACGTTATGCTTTTGTTAAATCTGAATTAAGGTTTTATTTGTTGTTATTTATTGGTTTTACTGTGTAATAGATGCGATCTTACAGTAATGTATGAAGTATTGGTGGGTAATTTTTAAATTTTTAACACTCTCACACACTCACACATTCTATCAATCAGTAAGGAGACATGTTCTATTCAAGTGATTTGAGTCAAATCTTAATATTTCGAGCTCAAGATTCTACAGAACTACTCCGAATTATCAGGAAGAACCTCCATGAACCTGCAAATGTTAAATATATATGCAAATAAAATAATCTAGAGGGGATTTGTTATATACCCTAAGAAAAGCGACTATGCTGCATTCTTCAACATATTTTACAATGATAGAAACCTGCCCTTGCGTCGCCATATAAAATAATTCATTCATACACTCAAACCAACTTGGATAAGCTCCAAATACATTCGTGGTGAATACTAATAAAAGTTAATCAAACTTTGTTATACCTTTTCTGTGTAATCTGCCAGTGTCTTGGCTATTGATTTTCTCGGCGGACATCTCTAGCTCCGTTACTGAGGTTTGAATCTTTGGCTCTATGGATTTACGATCATGATCGTTTAATCCACGATCTGCTATTCTAGCGGGATTAGTATTTACTTTGATTTCTTCTGGACTATCATTACTCGTTTTATGTTTTCTGTGCGTCAACGATTTTATTTTCTTGCCCAACCCAGAATACTTAAATTTCGATTTTTTTCCGCTAGAGATTTTTTCTGCTTTATCCAGATCGATTATTATCGGTTGGGGTTCTGTTCTAGGTTCGGTATTATTCTTGTAGCGAATTCCCGTTTCTTTGTAGATCTCTTCATCAATTTCGTCAATGTATTCCTTCAGTTTTTCTGTTATACTTTCTCGGCTTGGGTTTGTTTTTTCTGGCTGCAAGTAAATCACATTCTTTTAGTACGGGGTGTCCCGAAATTTGCTTTTGCTTAAGTGCAAATGTAATAAAACATAAAAAGCGCTTATACGACTTTAAATTTATATCAAAATTAATATTTTGGGCGAATTAATTTTCAGTAGTGGGAAAATAGAACTTGAACATTTTTTTAAATTTCTCTAATACATATGTTTATGTACAGAAATAACTAATACCAAATATCAAAACCCAATATTTAAGTGGCAATACATAATTCAAGTTGTGGCACCCGACTGGTTTTCGATCGATATTCTATAATGTTATATATTTATATTTACTTATGTTTTATAGTTTTATAGGTCGTTATATTATTTGCGTTTATTTTTGACTGGTGTAAAGTGTGGATGTATTTAATCTACGCCATTTTGTATTTGTGCTTAGTGTGCTTTACATTATAATAATGGAAGCAACATAAAAACAATATTACAAATCGTACCATCGTGTTTGAGTACAACCCGTAAAACGCCAAATAAACTTTCTGTTGGTCTACCAGAAAATAAAAGCAGTCTTTTTTGTTAACATTATGTCACTTTAGCCTTAACCTTAACTCTTCGAACTTGCACCCATCCTATTGCAGTCTCCATAGGAATGTCTTCCTGCCAATGCCAATATGCTTTAAAATCAGTATTTAGGTTTCCACTAATTAAAAAAAAATCCTTTTTGTTTTTTTTTGTTAAATAATTTACATTTTACAAAACTTTAAGCTAATTATTTTGGTTTAAATCGCATGGCTAAATTTTCTATGCACAGATCTTTTAGCTTTAACACCGCGAACCTCAGCAAAAGAAAAACTTTGGTGTTTGTACGCAAGATGTCACCATAAACATATCCACTAAAGGTAAATTATCAGATTGACCTTTTAAAAATCGGCTTCGTTCATTTTCGAAATTTTCTTTTTGATACTAAACACAAGATAATAAAAGCAAGCGACAGGATCCAAACTAAAAGTAAAATTAAAACCACCAAGACGAATGGCTTCTCTATGCTACCGTCCGGGTGGCGCGTAATCTAACAACCGCTCACAGTAAATGGCAGTGCGTTTCAAAGAGGATTTAAATGTTACAATTTTTAATTGCTTATATTTGTTACATAGAACTACGAAATTATTTTTTGTGAACCGTAGTTCTTTGATGGAAGATACAAGAAAAGTTAAACAGTTCCCAGAGAGATATAAGGTAATACGAATAACAAAGAATAAAGAATTAGAAAGAAAATCGGAGAGGCCAAAGAGAAGGAAGCAAAAGAAAAGTGTGAATAAATCGAAGCCTTATAACGAAAGTACGATAGCCACAATGTACATCGAAAGATCAAAGAAATGACTTTCGGATTCAAAAGAAAACAACAAGGAAATCTAACAGACAGTGAAGGAAACATTTTACTGAACAAAAAAGAAAAAATGGGATGCTGGAAAGAATACCTCGAGAAACTTTTTGAAGATCAAAGGAATAACCTTAATATAAATAGAGAAGAATCAGTAGAAGGACGTCAAATCTTAGATCAAGAAGTCCAGTCAGCAATAAATCAGTTAAAAGATGGCAAAGCAACAGGTCCTGATCCGGAGGCAGTAACCTTGATCACTAAACTGTTCAATGACTCTGGAAAAATACCATCAGAGTGGCTAAAGTCCGAATTTATTGTACTTCCTAAGAAACCAGGAGCCAAAAAGTGCGAGGAATACCGTACGATCAGCTTCATGAGTCATCTTCTAAAACTATTCCTCAAAATAATACACAAGAGAATCTACAATTTGTGTGAAAACCAAATATCACCCAACCAGTTTGGCTTCATAAAAGCGGTTGGAAAAAGAGAAGCCTTATTTTAAATACACGTCCTGATACAAAGGTGCAGAGATGTAAATTGCGATGTGTATGCATGTTTAGTTGACTTTGAAAACGCGTTCGATAGAGTGAAACATGAGAAAGGACCTCAGACTAATTGAAAACCTCTACTGGAACCAGACGGCAAACCTAAGGATGGAAGGAGAACATACAGAAAACGTCAAAATTATCCCCACTCATTTTCAATTTTCATTTTCATTCCGAGAGGATATTTAACGAAGCCCTGTATGATATGAAAAATATTACTAAATGGACTCCGATTAAACAACATAAGGTATGCAGACAACTTAAAGGATCTGCAAAACCTTAATGGACAGCATCGCCCATCATAGTCAACAGTATGGCCTTAACATCAATGTTAAGAAGACAAAAATGATGATAATAATTAAGAATAAGATAACACGAAGAAAAATCTACATAAACCAAATTCTCATAGAAAGAATAAAACAGTACAACTACCTTGGTACTATTATAAATGAAGAATGGACCAACAATCAAGAAATCAGAGCACGCATTGCAAAAGCTAAGTCCACATTCAACCGAATGAGTGCATTCTTTAAGAGCCACAACTAACCAAAATGAGAATGTTGCGTTACTACATCTTTTCCATCCTCTTCTATGGTGTAGAATCATGGACCTTAAATGAAGATATGTGTAGCAAATTACAAGCGTTCGAAATGTGGCTATACAGGCGAATATTAAAAATCCCGTGGACATATCATGTTACTAATGAAGAAGTACTTCGACGAATGAAAAAAGATCGTGAAATAATCAACACCATCAAAATACGCAAGCTACAGTACTTCGGCCACATAATGAGAAACGAACCAAGATACACCTTGCTTCAATCCATCTTGCATTGAAATTGCAAATTTAATAAAAAATACTTGAAAACAATTGTATAACGTATTTCTTAAAATACGGAAGCTTCGTTGCACCTTTAGTCTAGTCATATCTAATCTTATTTCCGCATCGGCTGAAATATTACGGTGTAAAATTAAAAATCTTACTTGCTGCACGTTAATATCAATATTTTCTTTGTCGGGATGATGATGACAAGCGAAATAATCTTCCGGCTGGATGGCTTCAATAATAGGCGATAACTGTTTTTTATTTCGAGTTTCTAGTGTGCATTCGCTGTCGCTCTCCGATTTTTTCCTTCGCTTCGATGAATCGCTGCCAGAGGGTCCAAACTTTATTGATTTCAATGACGACACATCACTGATGCTTCGGCGGAGGTTGGGGGCTTTTGGTTTTGAACTTTTATCCGATTTCTTGAATATATCAAAAAAAGACGGATTGTTCTGGTTATTTCCAGTAAAACTACGTGGTGGCTTCTTCGGCGGCGTTAATTCTAACGAGCTTCTTCGTTTATTAACTTTTCGGTCCAAAGATAACGCAGAGCCTTTTCTTGGCACGGTGTAGAAATTTCCTGAAAATTGCAAAAACATCACGTTGCACAAAAGAATGAAAACTCCTATGCACCATAGGCAGCGTCAGATGTCACGAAATTTTATGGGTATTCTAAACGATTTCTTATCGATAAACATGTTTTGTATGGATGTATAGACTAACATTCCATATTAATTTATTAAACAATAAATACACTTTAGACCCATTATTTAAAAACCTTTAGTCGACCAAATAAACATTGTGAAAGTGTTTGCAAAGTTTAGACAATTCACAATATTAATAACTCTGTTGGATGAAGGTTTTAACAAAATTATTAATAGTCAAAATGTAGAATACATAACATTTTACTGAATAATATTCTTTGAATAGAATATTGATTTTTTGAAGAAAATTTTACTTAGGGTGAGACGAGTGTTTTCTTTGTCATACATGTGAGTACAAAAAAGATTATTTTATTTGATATAAATGTTTGAAGGAAATATTATTTAATCATCAAAAATATTGTGTAAAACAAAATCGGTAAAAATATATCGGTCAATAAATTAATCTATTAACACCCTCCCATTTATATAAAGAAGCAAGAGAGAGACAACTATTTTCATTACTACCCGTTTTATTCTAATGCAAAATTTGCGTGATTTTTATATCATGCTGTTGCCATTCCAGTTTAGATCGAGTTCACTCGCGGCAACATTGGCAAATACACTTTAACTATTTACTCCACTGCCGCGTAAAAAATGGTTTATATCTCTTGAAAACGGATTTTAATTATAATTTTCTTCGGAAATAAAATTAAAATATAAAATCTGTTCAAGCTTTCAAAAGAAATTTTCAAATTATATATTTATTAAAATAAATAGAACCTTTATTTCCATATTATTTTTGGATAAATGCATAAAGAGTGTACCTACGTTTTGAAGCAAACAAACACTTACCGTTTTGACGTGCAATACAATCAAGGCTGTCGACTTGTCGTAACACTTCAGCCGCTTCTTCGGATAGCTCTTGTTTCGTTTTTTTTACTCGCTCTTTTCGAACAGGAGGGGTAGTTAGTTGATTATTTCCATTGCTGTTGGTACCAGAAGGAGTGCGTGTTTTCTCGCGGGTCACTGAAATAAAAATAAAAAAAAATTTGAAGCGACGATAAAAAATATATTAGGATATGACCTGGCGGCGGTCAACAGCCAACATAGCTACTGACAGTTCTTTAATTGGACAGCTTCTAGTTTATATGACGCAAAGTACAGGTAGTTCTTAGCCGTTCGAGGCATATCAATGTTTACCGTACTAGGACCACTATATATTACTTAATGATAGATGGATGGAACTAAACATGCACCATTAAATAAGATGGTGCGATTTATGTGATTGATGTGATAACCTTGAAGGCCATTTTCCAGAAAAAGTGTTTTTTTTTTATCTATACTATTTTTATATTACGCATAGTATGTCAAAAAAACCGAACTTCTCTTTTTTCGGTGCAATTACACAAGTTCTTTAAATTTTATTGTTAAGAATCATTAGTAGTGTAGAACCTGTACATCGAACGTACGGATTAATAAAAGAGAGACATGGCGAAAATAGATAGATAGATAGACTTTCAAATCCAGTGGCCCGAAATCGCCACAAAACTTCGAATATAAGTAAAATGAAAGACCTTGCCTTCCGTGTCTATGGTAGACGGGAATGCTTATCGAGCAATAGGAACGAAGCGAGCGAGCGGTCAAATAATTAATTACTTCATACGGTGGGTAAATAATAGATTAGTAATAGTCTAATTCAATATCAACACATTCTAAAAAAGTGAAAAAGAATGCGGAAAGCGTAATATTAAAATCGTAAAGATAAAGTACTAAATCCGAGTACATATCTTTACATTTTTGTTAGAAATATGGAACGCATATTAATTAACATAAGTGTATATTATTATGTATTTTATTTAGATTATATACAAGCGCTAACGAATTAAATTAACGATTTGGATAAATCCTTGAAAAAAAAAACTATAAGTATACATAATTATTCCATATACTTGCTGCACCGACCTCATTTGCATCATAGATACACACCAAGTGGATTCTTTTTGTATTTTTGAAAATTGTACGTCAGCAGATTAAACAAACTAATTACTTCTTCTTTCTTTTTTTTTCCATTATTTTTGTAAATCAATACAGTATATAACAACAAATCTGTAAATAGTGCTTAATAGCTCTGATGTCGATGATACTTACAATTATTTATCACAGTATTGGAGAGATTCACTTATTTATAACAATATTTAAATATATTTTAATTTGAGGTCTAAAGTTTTTAATATTTCTTTAATTTTGCTGACACCTGACTGTATGTCTTCATAGCTAGCAGGAAGGGCATTATTAAGTCCTATCTTTGTTCTTGTATACATTACAAACTATTTAGAGACTAGTATTGTAAGTATGGGCGTATAGAGTGGCTAGTTTAACACATTATCTCACAACCTGGAAAACGAAATAAAAAAAAAGTTGATTTCCTTTAGTGATCTGTATTGATATTTAAACAAAAATAGTCAGTGGTCAAAAATTAATATTAAAAATTTAAATGACAAAATTATATATTTTTTTTAAGTATTGTTATTTTATTGTTTATTTATTTGCTTTTATTAAAATTACTAGCTTTTTCTCTGTTTATGTTTAGAAGTCTCCGAGAAACCCAAAATGCATTAATATAGAAACCAAAATACAAACATCCACTATACATATACAATAAAATATTGTGAAGGTATAAGTAACTCCAAACAACTTTTGCCTTTAACTTTTTTTGATATTGTTTAAATCTTTTGAGGGAAAGTGTAATTTCATAATAAACGGGTTACAACCGTACATACTTAGTTATCATGATAGCTATATTAGACTTTTGTGTTTCAATTAATATTTAGTAATATAAAACTAAGCCCAGAAATATTAAGTTCATCATATAATCAACAAATTCGAAATTCTATTTTGAAGCACTTGATTAATATTAAAACTAGTTTTATCATGTGCTCCCCCATCGGCCACAAATATCTGAAATGAGATGGGCAAAAGACCTACTAACTTCGTTGAGGGTGAGGTGATTCACAATATGAATTGACTTACGTGGTTTTGGTTATTAGCAGCTGGTTTAGTAAAAAATTGAAATTATTCAGTTTTTTTCCCGGTTTTTGATTTGACTTTTATGGCCATTAAATTTGTTACCAAATTTCTTAAATCAAAACGTTCAAAGTAAATTATAAAATTTGATGTATATAGGAGTTCAATTACGACAAACAAATCTGATGGCATAGAATCATCACTACGTTACAACATCTAATCTGAAAGCTGTATAAAAAGCTCGAAAGGCAATTAGAATGCGATCGGTGTGGGCGGAGATAGAAGGTCGCGAAACATCGTTGTCGAACCAACTTTGGCATAAGTTGTTATTTGTATATGCAAATATACAAGTTCGTCTTTAATACCTGCTAATTTTTCAATATACCGATTGTTTGAAAAAGACGATATTTAGGGATATTTTTGCGTAAAGGCTTTTAAAAATACTTCCACATTGGGAGTTTTTGTACATTTTGACAACAATAAATTGTTGGTAAATGTTGATTTTTGCTCTACAGGTTCGAAAGAAATCAACTGCAGCAAAAATCATCAAAACGCGCAAAATCTTTCACATCCATGAAAATTTGGCATTTTTAGATATATAAAGACAAAATTATGTGGTCTAAAAATATTTGACTTTTTTTTAAATTTTAATATTTTTTAATTCCGTAATTTATATAGTTACCAATACAGCATTTTAACGAAGACAACAACAATAATGAGCTATTTAAATAATACCTCATGTCAATCTATACGTAAAATTTGGAACGTACACTCACTTTGAATTGTTTTACGTAACTGAACACGAAACGATTACGTTACGCTCACTGTCGGCAACATTACGTATTTTGTATTAATCTTATTCCACTTTATTTGTCACAATTTAACATGTTACGTTAAACCTATCTGTCCGGTTCGAATTCAGCAACTTTCACAAATATCTCCCGCGAGAGACTGAACCGACCAGCGCGAGCACATCAGGATTATTTTTCCAATAGCGATTTACATATTTATCGACACACCGGGCAAGGAAAGAAGGAATCGCGTCCTTGTCTGCCGTTTGCGTGGAAGGTTTTATATTAGACACCGTAGGTGTTTATAAAGAGTAGAATATATGCTGAAAACCAGCTGACATTTGAATAATATAAATAATCAGTATCGCCTACTCCGGATTCCTATAATCGACGCCCAAACCTGTACCCATCGTCGGAAATAGCGTTTTTTGTTGGAGTATAGCAGAACATGAGATCACATTCGTTTCTGGAAACGTTCTGGTGCAGTGCGGCGCAATATGAAAACAAACATTCCTCTAAACTCCTGGAATCATCTAAGGATAATTTTAATGTATATACTTATATGTTTCTTTTTTTTTATAGTTCACATTTAGTTAAATATATGATAACAATTTATAACAAAAGTGATATAAGCGATAACTACAGGAGAAAGAGAGTGAACCACCATCTTTAGCACAGGATGCAAGAATATAAAAACGGATAAAATATGATAACATTCGAAAAAAAATTATTTAATTTTTTTGTTAATTATTTACTTTATTTATCCACATATAATTAGTTAGTACGACATCCAGGATTTTTTTTTACTTATAAGCCAGTGAATTATCTTGTTTATTGTTTTATAGAATGATTTTTGTTTTAATTCTCTTGACAACATATATATTTTGGGAATTGTATATGTTGGGATCACAACTGATTAATAATTTTTAGTATTTGGGGGTCTCTGAATAAAGCCTCCGATTAATAATGTTCGTTTTTATTTAATATGACTACTAATAGTATAGTATGTCACAAAATTTAGTGGCGAGTTTGTTTTTTGATGTTGCAGGAGCGGAGTGCATCGGTCGAATACATTCACACAGGGACGTATGGCGTGACCACAGACATCCAACTTAAAGACATTGCATAAATCATTCATAAAATTGCCGTTATGATTCAAATATAGGCATTTAGGCAAGGGACAAGAAGCACGTGAAATCGAAAAACTCCCCTACAATGGAGAAAGCGTTGTAACGTTGTCATATTAAAAAACATTTCTTACAAACCATATCGCTATTGCTAAAAAAAGAACAATTTTTTATATTATTATTTTTATTAAAAAGATTATTTTATGTATAGCGGTGTCCAGTACTGTCAACATTTTCACACCCCGTTAACATATTTGGATCACTTTAAAATGGAAATAAAGCTTAATAATAATAATCTTCCTTGATCAAATATCTACGGAGGTGATGATCACATGTGACAAATGTTTAAATAGCATCAGTGTTTGAAATATTAACCGAAACCGTTCTATTGCCCTCAACCCGTGACTAAAATACGCGAAACGCCGTTTAATGAACACTGGATACTGAATTCTGTGAAAATTTGATGTTTGCATTCGAAATAATTATTGTTATAAGAATTCTGTACTCCGCCATAGGCACAGCTATTTGGTAAATTGTGGTTTTAGTTTCTGACATTTCTAGCTAGAATCCTCTAAAACTGACCATACTTCTTCAAGGTCAACCCCGATTTCTGTCGTTCTTCCTCGGATTTTTAATCTAAAAATAGCGTTCTCAAATAAATTGTTAACCAGTATACTCGTAGATCTGAAATTCGGAGAGACACCCGTTATTCGCGTAATTGTTTCATTAATCTATTTTTGAAGATGACCGCCGCTTGAGTCAATAAAATAACCTTATCTTACCAAAAATGAAATACTGCACAAACACTTTTGGAAATATGATTTTTATTATGTTGCCAAAGTACCGTTACATCCCGAATGAGATTACCAGGAAAACAACCAGTAAAGGTAATTGACGAATGTGAAGCAGTGTTACTATGTGGAAGCATAATTACTAGTATTAAACGGTTTTGAATAATGATTTTAATTTTAAATATTATTGCTATTTTCTTAGATCAGGAGTATAAAGAAACTAAAAAAGATAAAAGATAATGAGATTTTAAACGGCTTAATGTTCATCTTGAAATTTTTTCATTTTCATCGCA